GGGATGTGCCCGAAACCAAGGTACATGCCCTGACCGGAATCGAACCTGGGACCTTTCAGTCCGCAGGCCGACGCTCTATCCACTGAGCCAAACCGGTTTCAGCAAGGAACAGTCTTGTTGCCGACACCGAACCGGGTCCTGAGGACAGAGCACTGGGCTAACACCACACCAGCGCCTGCTCTCCTGGAGCTGACATTCCACAGGGACAGGCTATCCCTGGAAGAGACGCACACATGCTTGAGGGCAGGGAGGGGGGTGGTTTGTGGAAAGCCACCACCGAGCAGTGCCCCGAAAGAACTCTCATGGAGCACAGGAGGTCCCGGGAGGGCACCGAGCGCTCACTGTGTGCCAGGGGTCTGGTTAAGCGCCTGAGACACACGACCACATCTGATCCCCTTGGGTGTCCCACGTGCCCAGAACTGTGCCTGACACATGGTAGGCATTCAAGAAGTATTTGCACAATGCGTGACTTCAGCTCCCACAGCAAGTTCTGTAGGGCGGCACTCACTGTCAGCCCGTTAGCAGGATGAGGACTTCAGTCCACAGAGACCACCCAGCCGGTGAAGGCTCGGCTGTGAGATCCAGAGGGTGGGCTTGCCCCCTGTATTGGTTTCCTGTTGCTGCTACAACAAATCACCACGAATTCAGTGGCTTAACGCAGCACAGCTGTCTTACAGTCTGGGGGGTCAGCAGCCTGGAATCCAGCTGTCCGTCCCCTCGTGCTCCTCCTCTCAGGGCCTCTGGAGGAATCAGTACTGTACCTTCTCCGCTGCAGAGACCGCCTGCACGTCTCAGCTTGTGGGTGCACCACTCCCACTTGTTTCTGTCTTCAGGCCTTCTCCAATCCCCGTCTCTCTTATAAGGACCCCGTGATTGCTGTGGGCACCCCGAGGTAATCTCCCTGTGCCCCCCCCCCCCCAGGTAATCTCCCTGTGGTTGCTGTGCCCCCCCCCCCCGGTAATCTCCCTGTGATTGCTGTGCCCCCCCCCCGGTAATCTCCCTGTGATTGCTGTGCCCCCCCCCCCAGGTAATCTCCCTGTGATTGCTGTGGCCCCCCCCCCAGGTAATCTCCCTGTGATTGCTGTGCCCACCCCCCCCCAGGTAATCTCCCTGTGATTCCTGTGCCCCCCCCCCAGGTAATCTCCCTGTGATTGCTGTGGCCCCCCCCCCCAGGTAATCTCCCTGTGATTGCTGTGCCCCCCCCCCCCCAGGTAATCTCCCTGTGATTGCTGTGCCCCTCCACCCCCCAGGAAATCTCCCTGTGATTGCTGTGCCCCCCCCCCCCAGGAAATCTCCCTGTGATTCCTGTGCCCCCCCCCCCAGGTAATCTCCCTGTGATTGCTGTGGCCCCCCCCCCAGGTAATCTCCCTGTGATTGCTGTGCCCCCCCCCCCCCAGGTAATCTCCCTGTGATTGCTGTGCCCCTCCACCCCCGGTAATCTCCCTGTGATTGCTGTGCCCCCCCCCCCCAGGTAATCTCCCTGTGATTGCTGTGCCCCTCCACCCCCCAGGAAATCTCCCTGTGATTGCTGTGCCCCACCCCACCCCCCAGGAAATCTCCCTGTGATTGCTGTGCCCCCCCCCCCCCCCAGGAAATCTCCCTGTGATTGCTGTGGGACCCCAGGTAATCTCCCCGTCCCAAGACCCTGATTTGAGTCCCATCTGCAAAGTCCCTTTGTCACACAGAGTCAGGTGTTCCCAGGTTCTGGGTGTGAATGAGGACCCCTGGGGTGGGAGTGGTGTACCCATTCAGCCAAATGTCTTTACTCTGCTGTATTTCTGTTTGCTTCCTTAGCTTTGCATGCTCATGAGTAAGCCTGCGTGTGTGTGTGTCATTAGAAAACAAGTGGACTGAAAGGAATTGCAACTTTTTCCCCCTTTGATTGGTTTATTTCACTGAACATCATGTTTTCAAAAGTTTATCAACCTTGTAGCAGGTAGCATTACTGATAAATAGATAAGTAAAATGTGCTAAATGTATATATTCATTTAGCACATTTTACTTATCTATTTATCAGTTGATGAACATTTGGATTGTTTCCACTTCCCGGCTCTTGTGAATAACGCCGCTGTGAACATTTGTATACAGGAATTGCAGCTCCTGAGGCAGGAGGAAGGGAAGCAGAGCTCGGGATGTCAGAGGGGCCTGGCTCCTGTCTACATGTTCATTCGCTTGTTGTTAGAAAGGGTTTGCTTGTGGCGGCGGGAGCGGAGGAGCTGGTGCTCGGTGCGGCCGCGTTAGAAACCGGAGGGAGCCGGCTCTGCCCGGCGGCCGGCCGGAGGGCGCCCCGCCTTCTTAACCCCCCCCCCCCCCCCCCCCGTGCCCAGGGCCTGGAACAGCCTCCGGGCGGGACCGGGCACCAGGCCGGCAGCGGCGCGCGGAGGCGGGGGAGCTCGCAGGGGCCGGGCCGTCTCTGGGGTCGCACGAGCCGCGCTGCCGCGCCCCCAGGCGGCCGTGGGCGGCAGGTGCACGCTCACGGAGGCTCAGGTGCCCGCACGGCGGAGGACGGGACGTTGGCGTTAACCGCAGACGCTCTCCCCTCCTCCCGACGCCGCTCCCACGCCGCCGCTGCGATCACCGGGGCGCTGTGACCCCCAGACCAGAGGAGGCTGGGCCGGCGGAACCGAGGCTAGACTGCTACTGGGCATGCGCATGTGCACCGGGGCGGGGCTTGCGGCGGGAGCCACGTCATCAGCCTGATAGAGCCGCAGTGGAACACTTCCCAGACAGGAGGTAGCGTGGCCGAGTGGTCTAAGGCGCTGGATTTAGGCTCCAGTCATTTCGATGGCGTGGGTTCGAATCCCACCGCTGCCACACTGTTAATGGTTCCTCTTTTCCATCACTAGAGCTTATATAATCTCCTGGCGTCATTCTCACAATTCCTCTTTTCTGACGCTCGAATTTTTTAAAAAATGGAACTGGTGGCGGGGAGGGGAGAACTAAAACTGCAGCACAGGCCTCTCATGCGTAGCCTATCCCACAAACCTACCAATCCTACTACCCAGAAAATAAAAAGGAAAGCCTTTCTGTATTTCCAGGAAAAACCATCTGAGATACTTTGAAAAATTCCCAACAGTCATTTCGTGCTTCCATGTCTTAGCCCAACAAGTACAAAGGTTATGTGGGGGTGACTTAATCATGGCCTGAGCTCGGAAGGGTTCCTTCTGGCTGGCTCTGTGTACTTGGGAGAGCACCACTGACTCCAGAAACCTCTGCTGGCAGAAAGGTGTCAGGGTCCCCGGGGAGGGGCTCTGGGAGAGGGGCACTGCCCCGCTCCGGGATGAGGAACCTTGAGGGCCCAGCTTCCCAGGTCTACCTCCTTCTTGGTCTTCAGTCTTGGTTTAGGGGCACGACGGTTATGTATTCACTCAACAACTGCTTAGGCAGGACCTACTGTGGCCGGAAACCAAGCTCCTCGGGAGGCTGCAGGACACACAGGGCAGACATGTGCTTGCACCCACAGAGCGTGCAGACACCGCAGTGTCGTTAATCACACCTCTGAGGAGTGGGTGCTAAGCAGTGCAGCCTGCCAACTGGGCCGGGCCAGGCCAGCAGCAGAAGGGACGTTTAGCTGGGACTTGAAATTCTGTGAAGGCGATTCAGGGCGCTGGACCGAGGGCCAGCAGTGGAGCAAAAGAGGAGGCTGAGGTGTTAGGCGGGGAGGGCCATCGACTCGATCCTGCGCTCTTCCAAAGGCTGTAAGCCTGAGGGTGGCACGTTCCAAATTTGGGTTCAAAGAATTCCCTCTGGAGGGACAGGAGGCATGGCTGAGGTGCAGACGAGCGGAAATCACCCGTATCACGTTTAGGCCCGGGGCCTGCGGCTGCTCCCCGCTGAGGTCAGCCACGCCCCAGGCTCCTCCCTGGACAAGGACAGACCTGCTGGGAGGGTGGCCCACGGATACCGAGCAGCACGTAGATGGAAGCCCTTTCAAACCGCCCAGCGTTTCACAGACACGAAGGACCGTTACTGAGCGTTGTATGTTATACACACACAGCTCAGCCTGGCAAAGGGAGCGCACTCTGCCGCCGCTTCACAACCTTCATCGTTCAGCGGAGGGACAGCCCCCGGGGATGCCCACACCGCAGGCCCGTCCCCTCTGACTGACTCTTCCCCTCCCCCGCAGGGTTTGTAGATTTGTGCTGTTTCCATCTTTTCCGGGACCCAGCCTGACCGGAGGTTCACACGGGCCTGTGTGATGCTCCCGGAGTATGGACACACCGCTAACATTGACACACGCCGCCGGCGTCCGCCCCTGCGGAAAGCGAGGCTGCTTAAGGCGTTTTGTGGGTTTAAATGTCAAAGATGATGGCGACCCCCACTGCCCTCTCCTTAGCAAACAGAAGCCGTACTAAATCATAAAATACGACCAAGTCCTAATTCTTCCTGAAATAACCATATTGGAACTTTCCCAGACGTTTAATTATTTAAAAAGCTTTTGTTTTGCTTTGAATGTCGCTGCTGGTGCTGTTTGCTACGCTGAGTCACCCCCAGACTAAACGGAAGTCCAAAGGGCCGGGCTGGGCGGGCAGACGCGTGGGTGTGGGGCTCCTGCAGCCTGGCCGTCCGCACACAGGGGCCTGCCGGAGCCCGGCGGGAGCCATCAGCGCTTCCAGAACGGTCCCCGGGGTCCCGAGAAGACCCAGGAGCAGCCCCGGAGGCGCGGGGAGCGAGGAGAGCCTGGTCCCCGGAGAGGCTGCAGCGGACGACGGAGCTGCCACACGGGCCCGCGGAGGCCGGGCCGAGAACCCACCTGGGAAGGGGGCGAGGGGGCGGGGCCGGAGATGAAGGGAGGGGCGGGGCCGGAGCGGAAGGGCGGGGCTGTGTAGGACACGCGGGGAGTGGCGGGGTCGGGTAGGACACGTAGGAGGGGCGGGGCCGGAGCGGAAGGGCGGGGCGGGGCCGGGCAGGACACGTAAGAGGGACGGGGCCGGACGGGCGGGGCGGGGCCGGAGCGGGAGGGGCGGGGCAGGACGCGTAGAGGGGCGGGGCCGGAGCGGGAGGGGCGGGGCCGGAGCAGGACACGCGGGGGGGCGGGGCCGGGCCCAGAGGGAGGAGCAGCCAGGCTGGGCTCCGGCGCACCCCTCCGTCCGGAAAAGGAGGAACCAAAGCGGGGAGACCCGAGGCGACCCAGGCTGGACCGGGGTGGGGGGCAGTCCCGTTAGGCGGGGCAGGCTTAAGGCTAGGGCCTCATCGGAACCGGGCCAGGCCCGAGCGGGCAGCAGGACCGAGGCCCAGAGGGGTGTCAGGCGGAGGGTGAGGCGGGGCGGGTCCAGCGGAGGGTGAGGCGGGGCTGGGCCCGGTCAGACGGTCAGACGGTCAGGCCGCCGGCCGCCGGCCTCGGAGCAGCAGGGCGGCGAGCAGGCCGAGCAGCAGCAGCGCCAGCAGCAGCCGCAGCAGCCCCCGCGCGCGGGCCCGGCGGGGCGGCGGGCGGGCGCGCACGAAGTGCTCCACGGCGTCGGCGAAGTGGAACTTGTCGGGGGCGTAGCCCAGCTGCGCGCGCGCCTTGCGGATCTGGAAGGTGTGCGTCACGGCCACGCTGTGCACCTGCGGGGCGCCGTGCGGAGCTCCTGTGACCTCCTGAGCCCAGGCCATGGCCCCTCCCTGCCGCCGCCTCGGAACGGCCCGGCCCGGCTGTGCGCCTGAGCTCCGGCTGGGCCTCCGGGCTGTGGGCTCTGGGAAGGGACCGTGTCTGCCTGCGGCGCCCAGCGGGGCCTGTCAAGTGCAAGTTCAGTGAGGAAACCTCCGGTTCTAGCCGGAGGCCGGCTGTGTGCGCAGGCCGAGCGGCAGAGGCGCCAGGCCACCCCGGGAGGGGCTCCTTTGCCCGGAGCTGCCAGCCAGGGAGCCCCGCCGGGCAGTCAGCAGCCCACACTGACCCCTGGCTCACTGCACACGCTGTGGTTGGTTCACAGCCTCAGGTCTGGCTGCAGGTCAGCTCTCAGCCCCGCTATCGAAGCGAGGAGCACAGGCCGGCTGTTTCTCCCTGTGAGCCGGTGGGAATGTGGACACCCAGAGCAGAGGTGATGGTTAGAGACAGAAAACAGCGGTTTGGCTCAGTGGATAGAGCGTTGGCCTTCGGACTGAAGGTCCTGGGTTTGATTCCGGTCAAGGGCATGTACCTGGGTTGCAGGAGGCCGGGGGTGTGCAGCAGGCCCCTGTGTGCAGACGGCCAGGCTGCAGGAGCCCCACACCCACACCTCCAGTAGGGGGTGTGCAGGAGGCAGCTGATAGATGTTTCTCTCTCATTGATGTTTCTAACTATCCCTCTCTCTTCCTCTCTGTAAAAAGTCAAAAAATATTTTAAAAAAAGAAAAAAAGAAAGCAGCTGCTCACACGATGGCGCTGTGTCCCCATTCCATCCCCCTGCCCCTCCGATGGTTCCAGGAGAGGCTGTGCGACCTGCCCGTTTCTGCCCAGCCTCCACTGCCGGGTGGGGAGCACGAAGCTTGGGGTGCCTTGCCAGTTCCAGAACGGGGTGACCGAGGACAGATCACTGACTTTTCTAGTCCTGTTTCTCACCAGAAAGTGAGATCACAACCATAATTCTCTTTCCCTTCCTAACCTACCAGGACTGCCCGAGTGCAGTGCCTCCCAGGCCAGCGGAGAAAACCAATGAGAGTGCACAGGGAGGGTTCTGCAAAAACACCAGACACCCATAAAGTTTTCTGCACGAACACGCCCTCTCCTTAACTGCATGTGCTAGGAGAGACACGGCTCTCTGAAAGCACGTCTGTGCAGAGCAGGCACTTGGTATGTACACACCGTGCGGTAAGCATGCACAGGGACCCGGAGCCAAAGGCTCAGGGCGGCAGTGTGCTGCGAGTTGGCAGAGTAGGTGGGGAGTTGTGGCATTCTAAAAAGTAAAAGTCATGCCCGGCTGCGTGGCTCAGTGGTTGATCGTCAACCAGGAGGCCACGGTTCGATTCCTGGTCACGGCACATGCCCGGGTTATGGACTTGATCCCCAGCGTGGGGCACGCAGGAGGCAGGTGATGGATGATTCTCTCTCCCTCTCCCTTCCTCTCTGAAATCGATAAAGACATATTAGAAATAAATAGGTAACAATAAACAGTAAAGGTCATGGGGCCTGTTTCTGGAGCCTCCGGGTTGGCTGGGAGGATAGACTGGAGGAGATGATAATGATGAGAAGGGCTTGGAGCTGTCACCATTCAGAGTGAGAGAGAACACTCGGCCTCAGCAAAGCCCAGGGTCAGATGCTCACAAAGGACCTAGCCCAGACCTGTGCCCCCAGGGGGTTCCGAGATCTCAGCCAGTCCCAGTCACAGTGCCAGAGGGACGAGGGGTGGTGGCAGTGGGGGTGGACAGAGGGCAGGGAGAGGGAGGTGGTGGCGGTGGGGGGACGGGGCAGGGAGAGGGAGGTGGTGGCGGTGGGGGGACGGGGCAGGAAGGGGTGAGGGTGGTGGCGGTGGGGGGACAGGGGGCAGGGAGAGGGAGGTGGTGGCGGTGGGGGGACGGGGCAGGAAGGGGTGAGGGTGGTGGCGGTGGGGGGACAGGGGGCAGGAAGGGGTGAGGGTGGTGGCGGTGGGGGTACGGGGCAGGAAGGGGTGAGGGTGGTGGCGGTGGGGGGGACGGGGCAGGAAGGGGTGAGGGTGGTGGCGGTGGGGGGACAGGGGGCAGGGAGAGGGAGGTGGTGGCGGTGGGGGGACAGGGGGCAGGAAGGGGTGAGGGTGGTGGCGGTGGGGGGGACAGGGGGCAGGAAGGGGTGAGGGTGGTGGCGGTGGGGGGACAGGGGGCAGGGAGAGGGAGGTGGTGGCGGTGGGGTGGACGGGGCAGGGAGAGGGAGGTGGTGGCGGTGGGGGGACGGGGGCAGGAAGGGGTGAGGGTGGTGGCGGTGGGGGGGACGGGGCAGGGAGAGGGAGGTGGTGGCGGTGGGGGGCACAGGGGGCAGGGAGAGGGAGGTGGTGGCTGTGGGGGGACGGGGCAGGAAGGGGTGAGGGTGGTGGCGGTGGGGGACAGGGGGCAGGGAGAGGGAGGTGGTGGCGGTGGGGGGACGGGGCAGGAGGGGTGAGGGTGGTGGCGGTGGGGGAAGGGGGGGGTGGGGGCGGTGGGGGGACGGGGCAGGAAGGGGTGAGGGTGGTGGCGGTGGGGGGCCGGGCAGGAAGGGGTGAGGTGCGGGGCACAGGCCCAGCAGCTCTTACCTCGCTGCGGGTGAGCAGGGGCGGGACGCTGCAGAGGGGCCTGAGTGCCAGGTGCAGGTACTCCATCAGCACGGCTGTGGGAGAGAGGCCGCTGCCCAGGGCGCCTAGCTCTCGCTACCTGCAGGGCCCTGGGGCCTGTCCGCTATTGCTCTGCCAGGAGGAGTCTTCCCTTTGCAGACATGCTCTGTCTGTGGCTCCTCACTCCTTATTCGGCCGAGAAACGGCACAGTTAAGCTGTTACCACATTTTAAGGACGGACCGAGCAGACTCCAGGTTACCTCCCCGTAACGCCTGCCTCATCACCTCCATCCCAACGCCAGAGACCCGGCAGGACATGTGTGCGCGGGGGGTCCTGGAGGCTGCGGCTGCGCGGGGGCCTCCCTCCACGCAGCCACAGGCCCTGCCCCGTGGAACTCCCGGGCGAGGGCACCTTGCCTGTTGGGCTTTTGTTATATGGACGCGCTCGCGAGTAGGAGAGGAAGAAGCCGGGCGGGGGCTCCTCCTGGGTTGCGCTCTGGACCTCCGCAAAGGCAGCTGATGCTTCTCTGCCCCCGGTCCCACAGATGGATGTTCTGGGTGCGGCCGAGGCGTTGTTATATTTTAGAAGCCCCGGTGGACCGCAGTGTGCAGCAGGGCTAAGAGCCTTCAGTCTCAGCTGGCTCCCGGAGCCCGGAAAGCTCCGGAGCCTAAGGAGTGTCAATCGCCGTGCGATGCGGACTCTGAGCATCCCTCCCGCCCGTGAGCCCCAGTGACAACATTGTACAAACTCCTGTTTAACAGGCAAGCCTCCTGGCTCCATCCCCAATGATGGTTCTCTCCCATCATTGATGTTTCTCTCTCTCTCCTCTCCCGTCCTCTCTGAAATCAATAAAAAATACATTTTTAAAAGGCAGCATCCCAGCGCCTGTAAAATACGGGACCCGTGGAGGTTCCCAGGAGCACCGCCCCCAGTGACACAGGCCCCGTCCCCAGGGTGAACACCACAAGCCTAACCCCAGCACTGCTCCCCTAACCCCTACTCTGCTCCCCTAACCCTAACCCCTGCTCTGCTCCCCTAACCCTAACCCCTGCTCTGCTCCCCTAACCCCTAACCCCTGCTCTGCTCCCCTAACCCCTAACCCCTGCTCTGCTCGCCTAACCCCTAACCCCTGCTCTGCTCCCCTAACCCTAACCCCTGCTCTGCTCCCCTAACCCTAACCCCTGCTCTGATCCCCTAACCCTAACCCCTGCTCTGATCCCCTAACCCCTAACCCTGCTCTGCTCCCCTAACCCCTAACCCCTGCTCTGCTCCCCTAACCCCTAACCCCTGCTCTGCTCCCCTAACTCCTGCTCTGCTCCCCTAACCCCTAACCCCTGCGCTCTGCTCCTCCCTAACCCCTAACCCCTGCTCTGCTCCCCTAACCCCTAACCCCTGCTCTGCTCGCCTAAACCTCTAACCCCTGCTCTGCTCCCCTAACCCGAACAACCATGCTCTGCTCCCCTAAACCCTAACCCCTGCTCTGCTCCCCTAACCCCTAACACCCTGCCTCTGCTCCCCTAACCCCTAACCCCTGCTTCTGCTCCGCCTAACCCCCTAACCCCAGCACTGCTCGCCTAACCCCTAACCCCCTGCTCTGGCTCCCCTAACCCTAACCCCTGCTCTGCTCCCCTAACCCTAACCCCTGCTCTGCTCCCCTAACCCTAACCCCTGCTCTGCTCCCCTAACCCTAACCCCTGCTCTGCTCCCCTAACCCCTAACCCCTGCTCTGCTCCCCTAACCCTAACCCCTGCTCGTGCTCCCCTAACCCTAACCCCTCTGCTCTGCTCCCTAACCCTAAACCCCTGCTCTGCTCCCCTATCTGCTCTGCTCCCCTAACTCCTGCTCTGCTCCCCTAACCCCTGCTCTGCTCCCCTAACCCCTGCTCTGCTCCCTAACCCCTGCTCTGCTCCCCTAACCCCTGCTCTGCTCCCCTAACCCCTGCTCTGCTCCCCTACCCCCTGCTCTGCTCCCCTAACCCCTGCTCTGCACGCCTAACCCTTGCTCTGCTGCGCTTGAGGTGGCCGGCAGGGGATGGGGTGTGAGCAGAGACTGGCCTTCATGGTGAGGAGGAGAGTCTAGGGTCAAAGTGGTACTTCAAGTCCCAAAGCACCTGGCTCAGGACGGCCTTGGGGCCAGAGTGCGATGCCCTCCAGTGCAGGCCCCGGGGTGAATGCCCTCTTCTCGCCCTGGCGCGCGGGCAGGCCACCGATCTATCAGGGCCTTGGTTGCCTCTCCTCTACCATGGACCCCACACGACCCACCTAGCACGTGGCACGAGGTTTTAACACGCAGGGGAGGGGCGGGGAGGGCGTGCGGGCTGGGCGCACCGGCTGGAGTGAGGTCGCCTCAGTACCGGCCCTCGGGCACCCTCGCCTCCGCCCGGCCCTGGGAGTGCAGGTCCCGGGACGTGGGGGGCTGCTGACGCCCTTCCTTTGCTCACCCGTCAGGTAGACGCAGGAGGTGGGCACCTGGATCCAGGGCTGGCTGTACCCCAGCTTCTCGAACTGCAAGGGAACGGGCCTGAGGTCAAGACGTCCCCGGGCTGGAGCGGAACAGCCACACGCTCTCTCCTCCGGCCCACAGAGGTCCCTCCGGCCGGCCGCCCGCGCCGGCCCACCGTGCGGGTCCGAAGTGAAGCCGGAAGCCCCGCAGGCCGAGTGCCGGGCGGGGTGCCCGGGTCATTCGCACGCTTCGTCTGTGTGCGTCCGCGGCTCCCAGGGGCGCTTCCACGTGGCCATGGGGGCGGGGCCCAGGCGTGCGGAGGGTGTGGGCGGGGACGCACCCTGGAGGGACTGCCCACCGGGGAACACAGGACAGGACAGCCAGCGCCCAGCTCCAGGCAGGGCCGGTGTTACCCGGCTTTGGAAATGGAGTCTGCGTGTTAGCGCGGGAGGGTGCAGGGCGAGCAGAGGGGTGGCACCCGGGACCTACCAGCGGCGCCATCCACTCGAAGAGGTTGACGCTCTCCCCGTCGTTGATGTAGTAGGCCTGCCCGCTCTGGGGACACGGAGGGACAGTCAGGCCTCCTCCCGCCCCTGCGGCGCCAGCCCCCGGCCGGCCACTCTGGGCAGCCCCGCGGGTGCCCGGCGACTCGGGTGGCAGACTGGCCCGCCCTGCGGGGGGAGGAGGCGGTCTGCGGGCCGGAGCCCCTCGGACGGACAGGGCGGGGCGGGGCGGGACGGGCGGGGGAGGGGGGGGGGGGCGGGGCGGGCGGGGGAGGGGGGCGGGCGGGGCGGGCGGGGGAGGGGGGGGCGCTGCCGCGGGAGGACGCACGGACTCACGGCCACGAAGCCCTTGGCCGCGGTGAGCGCCTCGGCCGCCAGCTCGTGCGCCCGCACCAGGTTTTGCACGTGGACCCAGTTCATCCTGGCGCCGCGGTCCCCGAAGCGGAACATGAACAGCCTCTTCTGGATGTGGCTCTGGGGGGTGATGGACACGACCCGGTGCTCCCGGCCTTCCATCTCTGCTGCGGGCCCGACCCGACCCGACCCGACCCCGACCCGACCCCAGCCCCGACCCGACCCCGACCCGACCCCGACCCCCACCCCGACCCCGACCCCCACCCCGACCCCGACCCGACCCCGACCCGACCCGACCCCGACCCGACCCCGACCCGACCCCGACCCGACCCCCACCCCCACCCCAACCCCCACCCCGACCCCCACCCCGACCCCGACCCGACCCCCACCCCGACCCCGACCCGACCCCACCCCCACCCCCACCCCGACCCCGACCCGACCCCCACCCCGACCCCGACCCGACCCCCACCCCGACCCCGACCCGACCCCACCCCGACCCCGACCCGACCCCCACCCCCCGACCCCGACCCGACCCCCACCCCCACCCCGACCCCGACCCCGACCCGACCCCACCCCCACCCCGACCCGACCCCCACCCCGACCCGACCCCCACCCCCACCCCGACCCGACCCCCACCCCGACCCCAACCCCCACCCCCACCCCCACCCCCGACCCCGACCCCGACCGACCCCCACCCCCACCCCGACCCGACCCCGACCCCCACCCCGACCCCGACCCCGACCCCACCCCCACCCCGACCCGACCCCGACCCCCACCCCGACCCCGACCCCGACCCCCACCCCCACCCCGACCCGACCCCGACCCCCATCCCGACCCCGACCCCGACCCCGACCCCGACCCCGACCCCGACCCCCACCCCAACCCCCACCCCCAACCCCAACCCCAACCCAACCCCAACCCCAACCCCAACCCCAACCCCATCCCCAACCCCAACCCAACCCCCACCCCAACCCCACCCCCCCCCCCACCCCCCCCCACCCCCCCACCCCACCCCCACCCCAACCCCCCCCACCCCCCCCACCCCAACCCCCCCACCCCCACCCCAACCCCAACCCCAACCCCAACCCCACGCTGTCCCGGGGCTGGTGCCCGTCGTGCTCTCAGCCCCCGGGGAGGGGGGCCTTGCTCTTCCTCTGCTCGGACCCCACATTGGCTCACCCGCAGGCCCAGGGGGCTGCGCTCTCAGTCTGTCCTGGACCCACCGCTTCCTCCACCCTGCCGCCCTCAGCTCACACCGGTCCTGAAGTGGCCCCCCGGCCCCCCGCTGCACCCCCCACCCGGGGCTCCCGCTGCGTCCCCCCCCCCCCCCCCGGCCCCCCGCTGCACCCCCCACCCGGGGCTCCCGCTGCGTCCCCCCCCCCCGGCCCCCCGCTGCACCCCCAACCCGGGGCTCCCGCTGCGTCCCCCCCCCCAGCCCCCCGCTGCACCCCCAACCCGGGCTCCCGCTGCGTCCCCCCCCCCCCGGCCCCCTGCTGCGCCCCCTACCCGGGCTCCCGCTGCATACCCCCCCCCCCGCCCCCGCTGTGTCCTGGGGCTCCCACTGCGCCCCCCGACCCCCACTGCGTGTCCTCCCCCCCCGCCTCCTGCTGCGCCCCCCCCCCCCCCCGCCCTGCTGTGTCCTCCTGGGGCCCCCGCTGTGCCCCTCCCGCCTCCCGCTGCGCGCCCCCCCCCCCCGCCCTGCTTTGTCCTCCTGGGGCCCCCGCTGTGCCCCTCCCGCCTCCCGCTGCCCCCCCCCCCCTGCTTTGTCCTCCTGGGGCCCCTGCTGTGCCCCTCCCGCCTCCCGCTGTGCCCCCCCCCTAACCCCCACCCCCCGCCCTGCTGCGTCCTCCTGGGGTCCCCAATGTGCCCCTCCCGCCTCCCGCTCCACGTCGTCGTGTCCACCCCCCCCCCCCCCCCCGCCCTGCTGCGTCCTCCTGGGGCCCCCGCTGTGTCCCCTTGGGCCAGGGGCACCTCAGCCCTGGGTGGAAGGCGTGTCCCCGCTCGGTCTGGCAGGGGAAAGCCTCAGGCCCAACAGCGGCCTTCTGGTCCCGCTCCAGCTCCCGTGGACAGGCCCCGGCCTGTGGGTCCCCAGGCCCGTCTGCCCCGGGAACACACTGACGCCTCCTAGGGCTCCGTGCTGCTCCGTCTGCTGGAGGCGCCTCCTCAGTCCCCGTGCTGTGCTCTGCCTCCCCTCACACGGATGCTCATGTCCCTGCTCCCTGACCCCACTGCCCGCTCCTGCTCCTCAGCCTCGAACACCTCCCTGTGTCTGCACACGCCGGCCATGCGCCACGCTGCCACCCTCCGCCCTGGACGAGACCCTAAGCCCACAGGCAGGACTGTCCCCACGCCCAGAGCGAGCTCCTGTCGGTCCCATCCCAGGCGTGTCCCATGCCGTCTCCTCTGCTTGGACAGCCTTCTCTCCGCCACCCACTTCCTTCTTCTCCTTCGTCACCTGCTCCAGGAAGTCCTCCTGGACTTCCCTCCCTTCCAAGCACTCATCTTCTCGTTCTTCTTCTCATAAATTCCCCACCACACCGAGTCTGTGACCTGCCGTGTGACCTCACCACGCCGAGCCTGTGACCTGCCCGTGTGACCCCACCACACCGAGCCTGTGACCTGCCCGTGTGACCCCACCACACCGAGCCTGTGACCTGCCGTGTGACCTCACCACGCCGAGCCTGTGACCTGCAGTGTGACCTCACCACGCCGAGCCTGTGACCTGCAGTGTGACCTCACCACGCCGAGTCTGTGACCTGCAGTGTGACCCCACCACACCGAGTCTGTGACCTGCCCGTGTGACCTCACCACGCCGAGCCTGTGACCTGCCCTGTGACCTCACCACACCGAGTCTGTGACCTGCAGTGTGACCTCACCACGCCGAGCCTGTGACCTGCCCGTGTGACCTCACCACGCCGAGCCTGTGACCTGCCGTGTGACCTCACCACGCCGAGCCTGTGACCTGTCTGTGTGACCTCACCACGCCGAGTCTGTGACCTGCCGTGTGACCTCACCACGCCGAGCCTGTGACCTGTCTGTGTGACCTCACCACGCCGAGTCTGTGACCTGCTGTGTGACCTCACCACGCCGAGCCTGTGACCTGCAGTGTGACCTCACCACGCCGAGCCTGTGACCTGTCTGTGTGACCTCACCACGCCGAGTCTGTGACCTGCTGTGTGACCTCACCACACCGAGCCTGTGACCTGCCGTGTGACCCCGCCACACCGAGTCTGTGACCTGCCGTGTGACCTCACCACGCCGAGCCTGTGACCTGCCGTGTGACCTCACCACGCCGAGCCTGTGACCTGCCGTGTGACCTCACCACGCCGAGCCTGTGACCTGCCGTGTGACCTCACCACGCCGAGCCTGTGACCTGCCCATGTGACCTCACCACGCCGAGCCTGTGACCTGCCGTGTGACCTCACCACGCCGAGCCTGTGACCTGCCGTGTGACCTCACCACGCCGAGCCTGTGACCTGCCGTGTGACCTCACCACGCCGAGTCTGTGACCTGCCGTGTGACCTCACCACGCCGAGTCTGTGACCTGCCGTGTGACCTCACCACGCCGAGCCTGTGACCTGCCCTGTGACCTCACCACGCCGAGCCTGTGACCTGCCGTGTGACCTCACCACGCCGAGTCTGTGACCTGCCGTGTGACCTCACCACGCCGAGCCTGTGACCTGCCCGTGTGACCTCGCCACGCCGAGCCTGTGACCTGCCGTGTGACCCCGCCACGCCGAGCCTGTGACCTGCCCGTGTGACCTAACCACGCTGAGCCTGTGACCTGCCGTGTGACCCCGCCACACAGAGTCTGTGACCTGCCGTGTGACCTCACCACGCCGAGCCTGTGACCTGCCCGTGTGACCTCACCACGCCGAGCCTGTGACCTGCCGTGTGACCTCACCACGCCGAGCCTGTGACCTGCCGTGTGACCTCACCACGCCGAGCCTGTGACCTGCGTGTGACCCCGCCACATGAGTCTGCGACCTGCCCGTGTGACCTCACCACCCTGAGTCTGTGACCTGCCGTGTCCCCTGCCCGGCTCTGACAAAGCTGAGGCCAGGGCCCGCCAAAGCCCCTTTGCCAGCTTTCTCTGGAGAGAGGCTTTTTGCACGAAGACTCTGGTGCTGGCGGCATGAGATGAGCCACCTGGCCCCGTGGGGCCCACCTGTGAGTGGGGCCACAGCTCCGTGTCTGCCACCCACGCCCTCACCCGGCGGGCACACCTGAGAGCCAGCCTGGCGGCCCCTCCCGGGGCTGAGGGCCCGCACAGGAACCCGCCCGAGCCTGCTGCAGGCGGGGCCTGGACCGCCGTGCGGACCGGACGACGTACCGCCACGCGGGGCAGGTGCCGCTGCTCTTCGGGGCCGTAGATCCCCGGGGGCCGGAGGACGCAGGTCCGCAGGGTGCCTCCTCCTAGGACACGGGGCGGCGTCAGCGGAGGCCGGCCAGAGGGGGACAGAGGGCTGCCCGCACCGCCTGGGCCTCACTGGGACAGGTTCGCAGGGAAAACAGGTCCTTGGGGTTTCCTCATTCAGTTAGTATTCTCTCAGTCAGTCAGTTAGTCGTTCAGCAAACACTATTCAGATGTTTGCTCCTTTTCCCCTGCCCCTGCCTCACGCGCTAGGGCTTGGGGTGGATGCTGTGGAGAGCCTACGATGACCAAGGTGGTTCCCGCCCTCAGGATGCTCACCGGCCAGTCACAGTGAGACCTGGGTGCAGGTGCGCACCGCCCGGGGCAGACGGATTCCCCGAGGCCCCTGTGCTCATTACGGCCGCACCGGCCGCACCCCACTGGCCAGCAGCGGAGTCCTTCCCCCTCTGACCCTCGGCTGGATGAGGACCGTGGCCCACGCGGGAAACTGCGGTCTCTCTCCCTGCAGGCAGCCCGGAGCCCAATCCGCACAGGGCTGTGATCCGTCTAAGGACACCACTCGGCTTTGTGGCGCTGAGGTGGGGCCACGGCCCAGGCGCCCCGCTGACGCTGCCTCTCAGGGACACGGCAGGACAGGCAGACCCTGTCCCCAGCCTCCAGCCTCGTCTCCCCACCCGGAAACCCGTGCTGGGTGGGTGCTGGGGGGACCAGCACCGCAGGCAGGACAGGGCGAGCCGTCCGCACAGGAGTTGGGGACAGCTCCGTGCCCGCGGGGCCTGGCCAAGGCAGAGCTTGGTGCAGGGCTCCCCAAATTCTCTCCCAGGGCCCCCACGTGTGGGGAGATAGAGGTGTCTCCTTTGGGGTGTAGCCCAAAGGGCTGCCACAAATATTTCTTTCACATTTTAAGAAAGCCCGTGAAATTTTCAGTTTGTTCTTAAACCCCATTTGTGCTTTACACTTAAATTTTAAAAAATTACTTCTCTGTACATTACTTGACACTCAGCCTCAACTCCTCAGCTGAGATGGGGCCCCCTGGACGATGCTCTACTTGGGAACCCCACACGGCTGCACCCCAAGCTCACCCTCTCCCTGTGTGAGGTCAGGACTGTGGTCCAGCTGGGCCTCTGGCCCTGAGGCGGCTGGCCAGTAACCTGTGCTCCCCCAGGAAAGCGGTCCGAGGAGGGGCTTACCCAGACTGGCCCTCAGCTCCCGCCCCTCCCGCCCCTCCGCCCTGAGGGCCGCCCCCACGGCCATTTTTCTAGAAATTTCTGTCCCACAACCTCCCGGTCCCGCCGGTTAGCCAGGACCAGTGTCTGCGGGCCACAGTCACACCCCCCAACTGCTTCCCGGATCAGCTCCTCACTGACGATGAGGCCCAGGGAAGGGGTTGGCTGGCAGCTCTGAAGACACACAAGCCCGGAGGCTGCTGTCCGGCCTCGTTGGGAAAAGGGCCTTCGCACAGGTACAAGGACCTCACACAAGGTGGTCCCGGATCCCCGGGGTGGTCCCTAAGCCACGCCCGGTGCCCTCACACGAGACTCAGAGAGACCGGAGTGGAGCGGCCCTGTGGAGCCCGAGGCCGAGACTGGACGCTGCCCCCCCCCCGGGTGGGCGGGAGGGCCCGAAGGACCGGGAGCCTTCGAGGGAGCGGGCCGGCGGCCGGGCTGAGCCACCAGGCGGGTGGCCGTTTGTCCTGGGACAGGACACGAGGGCCCCTGAGGCGCGCACCAGCCCCGCCCCGGCCGGGCTCTGCACACAGCCTCCGTCCGGCAGGGACAGGGCCCGGCCAGGCCCAGGGGCAGCCGGGGCAGCGAAGGCAGGAAACCGCCCGGGCGGCGGGCTGGCCTCGAGGCCGGTATCAGGTGAGCGTGTCTGTAACAGCCTGAGGCTAATTTTAGACTCCGGTCCCTGGCACAGGGGGAGGGTCGGGTTGCAGTGACATTGGCCGGCGGGGCACGGCAGGCACGTCACAGACGCCCGGGCCCAGGATATCCGTGACTCTCTTGACCATGGAAAGTGGGGGATGCTCATATAAATAATTCTTGGCCTGAGGATTAGGTGTCTGGCTTCTCGGCTGCTGGTCCTGTGTGCGCAAGCACGAGTGTGTGTGTGTGTGTGTGTGTGCATAAGCGAGTGCGTGGAAGGGTGGCAGAGGGTACAGTGGGGGCAGGTAGAGAAGAGAATTCAACGGCACAGGGTCAAAACCTCTAGGAAAACACAGCTGGAAGCTCCTGATAGGCCCAGGGTGATGGGGTGGGGAGGATTCTGATTTTTTTAAATTCTCACCTGAGGATATGTTTACTTAGTATTTTTATTTTTATATTTTAGAGAGAGAGAAAGGGAGAGAGAGAAAAACATTGATCAGCTGCCTCCCATGTGCCCCTTGACAGGGATCAAACCCACAACCTAGGTATGTGCTCTGACCAGGAATCATCGAAATCACAACCCTGCGGGATGATGCTCCAACTAACTGAGCATCTGGCCGGGGCTGTGGGGAGGATTTTAGGGAAAAGAGCTCGTTCTCAGAGCCCTGCTCAGCTGTGGCTACAGTGTAGGATGGGGGTGAGGCCCCAAGCACTGGTGTTAGACCCCCGAGGCAGAGAAAGGGTTCAAATCCCACATCTGCCGCCTAAGACTGTGTGACCTTGAGTTAAGTCAGTTACCCTCTCAGCTCAGTGTCCTCCCCTCTAAATTTCAGGGTTTATAACTACAAGCACCCTGGCTTTCCAAAACCAATTGGTCCCTGAGTTTAGGTAGTGAGGGTAACAGAGTTTACTTTCATTTTTAAAAAAGATATCCTTATTGATTTTAGAGAGGAAGGGAGAGAGAGTCAGAAACATCAATGATGAGAGAGAAGCATTGATCGGCTGCCTCCTGCACGCCCCACAACGGGGATCGAGCCTTCAACCCGGGCCTGTGCCCTGACCGGGAATCGATCTCTGACCTCCTGGTTCACAGGTTGACACTCAACCACTGAGCCATGCCACTGGACGGTAACTGAGTTTTCTGATTTAAGTTTCTGAATTTTGGAAAGCAAACAGTGATAGTGTTTGGATAGTGAGGATTTATATAAATCGACTCGGTTCCTGAGTTTGGAAAGCACGGCTGCTGTGAAAGTTGTGGAAAGTTCTGCCTGTGGAACTGAATGTGAATAGGCGTGGGGGCAGGAAGCACCCCTAACCAGGCTGTCCGTGTCCCCTCGCTGCAGCGCCATCGTCATTCCTCAGACAGCGCCGAGGCGGACTCCGCTCCACCCCACCCCTCCCAGCAGGACCCTGGCATGCAGAGGGGTGCGCTGCCCAGGCCACCGGCGGTGGGGCTGGGCTCTGAACTCGGGCGGCCTGACCAAACCGGGCAGCCACATGGCCACCGCACACAGCCCCTGCCTGTGTCCGCTCCTCCCGCAGCCCGTCCGTTCCTCCCCGTCCGCTCCTCCCGCAGCCCGTCCGTTCCTCCCCATCCGCTCCTCCCGCAGCCCGTCCGTTCCTCCCCGTCCGCTCCTCCCCGCAGCCTGTCTGCTCCTCCCCGCAGCCTGCAAATGCGCTGTGGAGGCAGGAGCCGCTCCCTGGATCCATCTGTCTGTCACTCGCAGCCCTTCCGCGTGCCACACCCACTGCAAACCCCAACCGGGAGCACATTCCTCCCACGGGTCCCTCAACAGGCCCCTCCCACTGGTGTCCCCCGCCCGGCCAGGAGCAGCCTGAGGGCGGGCTGGGCCACCTCCCGGTCCTCTGGGCTCAGAGTGTGGATGGAGCGGGACCGCGGCCCGGGACGTGTCCTCTCGAAGGCAGGGCCTCGAGCACGCCAGCTGGACGCTAGGACATGCGTGCTGGGCAGGGCAGCGGGCCGCGTCCTCACCTGGGAGAGGCGTGCCGTTGGCCGAGAGGGTCAGCTGGTCGGCGATGGCCTTGGTTCTGGAGTAGTGGTCCATGTGCTGCCGGGAGGACACGCCGGGAGGGGCCCTCAGTGACCGCCGCCCCTCAGCCCCGGCTGCCCCGCCTCCCGCCCCGCAGGGCTGGGCTCTGGGACGCTCCCCTCTGGTGGAAGCCACGGAGCAGCTCAGGGCGGCTCCTGCAGCCGGCTGCCCGGGACACGGAGGGGACACGGAGGGGACACAGGACCCAGAGGGGGACCCAGAGGGGGACACGGAGGAGGGGAAACAGGTCACGGAGGAGGGGGACACGGAGGGGGATGCGGAGGGGACACGGAGGAGGGGGACACAGAAGGGGACACGAAGGAGGGGGACACGGAGGGTGACACGGAGACGAACACGGAGGAGGGGAACACAGAGGGGGACATGGAGACGAACACGGAGGGGGACACGGAGTCCTGTGGGGTTGGCAGTGGTTCTGACACGCCCCTCATGCTCTCTCAGCCTCACAGGGCGGCCGGCGGAAGCAGAGGCTCAGAGCACAGCCCGGCGCAGGGCGGGGGCGCGCGGGGCGGTGGGGGGGGTGCGGGGCGGGAGGTGGGTGGGCGGGGCGGGGGGGCGCGCGGGGCGGGAGGGGGCGCGGGGGGGGGCGCGCGGGGCGGGGGGGGGGGGGCGAGCGGGGCGGGAGCGCGCAGGGCGGGAGCGGGCCGTCCGGCTTCGCGGTCCCGGTGGCGTGACCATCACGTGGAAGAGGGCCCACGCTCCGGAGGCTGGGGACCCCTCTCTGGGCCTGGACTGGCTGGCTCTGCCCCCTTCCCCGCTGCTGCGGGCCCCAGGCCCGGCCGCCCGCCCTGAACAGGCACCTTCTCCAGCGGGAAGTAGGGCACCGAGTCCTCGTCCCCCTGCTCGATGGGCTTCCCGCCGAAAGCCACGTTGACGGTGCTGGTGTAGACGAGCCTGGGAACGCGCTGGCGGACACAGACTGCGGACAGGGCACCAAGTCACAAATGCGCACACACGTGCACACATGCGCACTCACACTCACACACGCACACTCACACTCACAAGCACACTCACACACACAAGCACACACACACACGCACACTCACACACACTCACAAGCACACTCACACACACTCACAAGCACACTCACACACATGCACACTCACACTCACACACACTCACACACACAAGCACACACACACGTACACGCACACTCACACACACACAAGCACACTCATGCACACTCACACACTCACAAGCACACTCACACATGCACACACACACTCACACGCACACACTCACACTCACACACACTCACACACACACACACACACATGCACATGCCCACTCTCACACATACACCCACACATGCACACTCACGCACACACTCACGAACTCACACATGCACGCACATGCACACACACACACGCAGACACACAGACACACACACTCATACACATATACACTCACACACGCACACACAGGCACACACACGCACATTCACACACTCACACACACATGCACACGGGCACTCACACATGTGGGCACTCACGCACTGACACACGCACACACGCAGACACACACTCCTTTCCTTGCGTGGGGTGTGGGTCTGGTCCCTGCTCTGTGCCCTGGGTGCCAGGCCAGCGAAGCTCCGGCTTCTGTGCTGTGCTCACACAGAAACTCATGCACTCACACACGCACACGCGCGCGCACACACGCATACACACACACACACACACACACACACACTCCTTTTCTTGCGTGTGGTGTGGGTCTGGTCCCTGCTCTGTTGACGTTGACAGTGCTGGTGTAGATGAGCCTGGGAACGTGGCGGCAGACAAAGACTACGGACAGGACACCAAGTCTCACACACATGCACACACACGTGCACACACACGTGCACACCACACGTGTGTGGGGCCTCAGATATTGTCTCTGCGTGTGTGTGCGTGTGAGTGTGTGTGTGTGAGTGTGTGTGAGTGTGTGTGTGAGTGTGTGTGTATGTGAGTGTGTATATGTGTGTGAGTGTGTGAATGTGTGTGTGTGAGTGTGTGTGAGTGTGTGTATGTGCGTGTGTGTGAATGTGTGTGTGTGAGTGTGTGTGAGTGTGTGTGTGTATGTGAGTGTGTGTATGTGTGTGTGAGTGTGTGTGTGAGTGTGTGTGAGTGTGTGTATGTGTGTGTGAGTATGTGTGTGTGTGAGTGTGTGTATGTGTGTGTGTGAGTGTGTGTATGTGCGTGTGTGAGTGTGTGTGAATGTGTGTGTGTGTGTGAGAGTGTGTGTGTGTGTGTGGTGTGCCTGTGTGTGTGTGTGTGCAGTGTGTGTTGTGGTGTGGTGTGTACTTTGTGTGCGTGTGTGTGCTGTGTGTGTGTGTGTGTGTGTGTGTGAGCATGGCATGGAGGGGAGTCACTCCAGGGACACAGAAAACACACTCCAGAGCCAGAGAGGGAAGCGAGGTGCAGGTGTGCCCAGCGCCCGGAGGGGCCTCCCAATTTGGCTCCTCCCTGTCCCCTCGCCCCCGTCCTGGGACACGCTGCCCACTGTGCAGGCCCGCGGCCGGGCAGGGTGTGCACAGGCCTCGCCGGGCGGGAGGTGGGGAGGAGGCCCAGCTGTCCCTGCTCCCCTCTCCGCCCCCCCGGGGGCTGGGCCTGAGGCAGGAGAGAGAGAGGGGACACACCAGGCCACTCTGAGCGCCTACCATCGATCACCAGTTTGGTGCCTCCGACATTGACAGACTCAATCTGCTCTTTCTGAAGCTACAAGACAAGACGGCGGGCGGGTTGGGGGCGGCCTCGGCCCGCCCGCGGCTGAGCAGTGAGGGTGGGGGCGGCAGGGCCCCCAGAGGCACGGACAGCGAGCCGGCCTCAGCTCCCTGGCCCGGAGGATTTGGCCCCCGCTCCCTCGTCTGTGCCGTGCGGGCAGACCGTTGCACGCTCGCCCAGGGGGACACGGGGCTGCAGAGCATCGGACTGTGTCTTCGCTCTGGGAGTCCCTGTCCTTCTCTGAGTGCCAGCGGCTCTGTCCGTGCCCTGGGGAGGGCCAGGAGGAGCCGGTCTGCGTGGACCTGCGGGAGCCAGGGCCACGAACCCCCGCAGCGCGCCTGTCCTCTGCGCTCTTTGCTCACCAGGTAATCCAATCACAGGCACAACCAGCAGGCCGTGACGGGGAAGGAACTCCCGGCCAGTCCCGTTCCATCTCCCTCCCCCCGAGGCAGCCACCGGGTCCAGTCTTGTGTATTTCTAGAAACAATCTGTGCTTACAGCATCGGCACACACAGAGGCGTGAGTATATACATATTGACCCAAGCCCTAGCCCGTGTGGCTCAGTGGATAGGGTGTCGGCCTGCAGATGGAGGGTCCTGGGTTTGAGTGCAGTCAGAGGCACAGGCTTGAGCCCCAGTAGGGGGCGTGCAGGAGGCAGCCGATCGATGATCCTCTCTCATCATTGATGTTTCTCTCTGTCCCTCTCCCTTCTTCTCTGAAATCAATAAAAATATATGAATACACAAATATTGACCCGAGCTTTTTTTTTTTTTTTTGCAAACAGGAGGATATCAGGCCGTATCTCTGCGCCTCGGGAAGTTTTCAGGATCAGCACACTCTGAGTGGCCTGGTTCTTTTGAGCTGCGTTGTGTGAACACAGCACACCTTTTTATAACCAGCCTCCCCATGGTGAGCACTTAGGCTGTTTCCTTGTTGTGTGATCAGACACAGCTGCCAACGAGCACACTGTCCGCGCCGAGTGCGGCTGTGCTGAGACGCTGCGGCCTCAGTGCTGGCAGTGCCATCCCTTCACAGTGCGAGGGGCTCCGGGCGCGGACTGCTACCACAGCCAGCGGCAGGCTGGAGTCGGGTGGCGGACGGCGATGGCGCTGGGCGAGCCGGCCTCCCGGGCGGGCGGGCGAGGCACACAGCGAGGGCCGCACGGACGGCTCACCTTCTCGGCACCGGACATGCCGTGGGAGGCCACATGGAAGACACAGTCCACCCCTTCGAAGGCACGGAGCAGGGCCGCCTCGTCCCGGACGTCGGCCTGGAGCGGGAGGAAGGAGCCCGAAGGTTTGGGTCCAGGCAGAGACCAGCCGTGCACCTCGCCAGGCCCAGCGCGGCCGATCGGCCTGGCCGAGCCCCGGGACCCGAGGGCGGGGCAGGCTTACAGGCTCCACGGGAGCCAGCACCGGCACCAGCCGCCCCCCGCTTCCCGGGCTGTGCGCGGACCCGGCCTCCCCAGCCCGAAGCCCGGAGCCGGTGCCGTGGGCCCTCCCGGGGGGAACCGGAGGCTCAGAGAGCAGAGCCTGGGCCGAGGCCGTCCAGCGGGGAAGCCGGGGTGGAGGTGGAGCTTAAACAGCGTGGACTCCTCATCCTCCTGGACCGGCTCGGCCTCTGACCTCCCCCCAGCCTGGCCGCCCCCGCCCGGGCCCTCACTGCACCTGGATGAACTCGGTCCCCGGGACCAGCTCCCACTGGGGCCTGCGGAGGTCGAGCAGGATGACGGAAGAGCCGCTCTTGGCCAGGCTGGAGCCGAGACTGAAGCCCAGGTAGCCGCCTCCTCCGGTCACCAGAACCTTCTGCCGCGGGGCCTGCCCCGGTGCGGACGGAGCCTTCTGCTGCCGTGCCGGGGAGGGGGCTGCCGCGGACTCACCGGGCTCACCGCGGAGCCCAGGCCCTGCCCCTGGCCCCGGTACTGGCCCAGCTCCGGGCCCCGGTACTGACCCAGCTCCGGGCCCCGGTACTGACCCAGCTCCGGGCCCCGGTACTGACCCAGCTCCGGGCCCCGGTACTGACCCAGCTCCGGGCCCCGGTACTGACCCAGGTCCCGGGCCCGGTACTGACCCAGCTCCAGGCCCCGGTACTGACCCAGCTCTGTGCCCAGGTACTGACCCAGCTCCGGGCCCCGGTACTGACCCAGGTCCCGGGCCCGGTACTGACCCAGCTCCGGGCCCCGGTACTGACCCAGCTCCGGGCCCCGGTACTGACCCAGGTCCCGGCCCTGGTACTGACCCAGCTCCGGGCCCAGGTACTGACCCAGGTCCTGGCCCAGGCCCCGGACCTGAAGCAGCACCAGGTTCCGGAGCAGAACCAGGTCCCAGAGCAGAACCAGGACCCGGTCCAGGTTTCAGAGCAGAACCAGGCCCCAGAGCAGCACCAGGACCCAGAGCAGAACCAGGTCCTGGTCCAGATCCCAGAGCACCAGCAGGCCCTGGAGTAGGCCTGGACACAGCACCAGGTCCTGGCCCAAGTCCTGAAGCGGCACCAGGTCCCGGAGCAGCACCAGGTCCCGGAGCAGCAGCAGGTCCCGGTCCAGGTCCTGGAGCAGAACCAGGTTCCGGTCCAGGTCTCAGTCCATGTCCCGGAGCAGAACCAGGCCCCATAGCAGCAGCAGGTCCCGGAGCAGCACCAGGTCTTGGAGCAGCACCAGGTCCTGGTCCAGGTCTCAGTCCATGTCCCGGAGCAGAACCAGGCCCCACAGCAGCACCAGGTCCCGGAGCAGCAGCAGGTCCCGGAGCAGCAGCAGGTCCCAGAGCAGCACCAGGTCCCGGAGCAGCACCAGGTCCCGGAGCAGCACCAGGTCCCGGAGCAGAACCAGGTCCCGGTCCAGGTCTCAGTCCATGTCCCGGAGCAGAACCAGGCCCCACAGCAGCAGCAGGTCCCAGAGCAGCAGCAGGTCCCGGAGCAGCCATGTCCGGAGCAGCACCAGGTCCCGGAGCAGCACCAGGTCCCGGAGCAGCACCAGGTCCCGGAGCAGAACCAGGTCCCGGTCCAGGTCTCAGTCCATGTCCCGGAGCAGAACCAGGCCCCACAGCAGCAGCAGGTCCCGGAGCAGCAGCAGGTCCCGGAGCAGCAGCAGGTCCCGGAGCAGCACCAGGCCCCGGAGCAGCACCAGGCCCCGGAGCAGCAGCAGGCCCCGGAGCAGCACCAGGCCTCGGAGCAGCAGCAGGCCCTGGCGTCGGTCTGGACACAGCACCAGGCCCAGGCTCTGACACTGAACCAGACGCCCGGCCAGCCCCGGGCACGGACCCCCGGCCGGCGCCCGCTCCCCCGGCCTGGCAGACGGGGCAGCTCTCCTCCGGGGCGGCGCCCGCGGCTCTGCAGGCCTCCGGGGCGGCGCCCGCGGGGCTGGGCTTCATGCTCACGGAGCCATGTGGCTGTGCGCCTGCGGGAATGAAGGCCGTGTTCCAGAGCCCGGGCCGAGGAGGCCCCTGGGTGCAGCGACCGGTCCCGTTAGACTCCTGACGGCTTCCCAGGTGGCGGGTGGCTTAGACTCGGAGACTCGGAGACGGCGGGGCCTTGGGTGCTACAGCTGGGGAAACAAGAGGCCCAAGGTCACCCGCTTGGCTGAGAGTCACACCGAGTCCTCGTGGCTCCTCTGCCAGTCCCTTACACCCGTTCCCATGGAGACCGGCGCAGACGGGCAACGGCAGCAGGGGAGCCTCACCAGGTTGGGGGTGACTCTCTGACTGCGGAAACAGAGGGCTTCCTGGAGGAGGAGGGCTGGAGGAGGGGGAGGAGAGGACAGGAGGGGAGAGGGGGAGGAGGGGGAGGAGGAGGAGGGGGGAGGCGGAGGAGAGGGGGAGGAGGAGGGCTGGAGGAGGGGGAGGACAGGAGGAGGGGGAGGAGGAGGGCTGGAGGAGGGGGGAGGACTGGAGGAGAGGGAGGGGGAGGACAGGAGGAGGAGGAGGGGGAGGAGGGGGAGGAGGAGGACTGGAGGAGGGGGAGGAGGAGGAGGGGGAGGAGGAGGGCGGGAGGAGGGGGAGGACAGGAGGGGGAGGGGGAGGAGGGGGAGGAGGAGGAGGGGGAGGGCTGGAGGAGGGGGAGGACAGGAGGAGGGAGAGGGGGAGGAGGGGGAGGAGGAGGACTGGAGGGGGGGAGGAGGAGGAGGGAGAGGGGAGGAGGGGGAGGAGGAGGACTGGAGGAGGGGGAGGACAGGAGGAGGGAGGGGGGGAGGAGGAGGAGGAGGAGGGCTGGAGGAGGGGGAGGACAGGAGGAGGGAGAGGGGGAGGAGGAGGGCTGGAGGAGGGGGAGGACAGGAGGAGGGAGAGGGGGAGGAGGGGGAGGAGGAGGGCTGGAGGAGGGGGAGGACAGGAGGAGGGGGAGGGGGAGGAGGAGGAGGGGGGGGGGGGGAGGGGGGGGGGGAGGGGGAGGAGGGGGAGGGGGGGGGGAGGAGGAGGAAGGGGGAGGAGGAGGAGGGGGAGGAGGGGGAGGGGGAGGAGGAGGACTGGAGGAGGGAGAGGGGGAGGGGGAGGACAGGAGGAGGGAGAGGGGGAGGACAGGAGGTGGGGGAGAGGGAGGACAGGAGGTGGGGGAGGGGGAGGATAGGAAGAGGGGAGGGGGAGGACAAGAGGTGGGGGAGGGGGAGGATAGGAAGAGGGGAGGGTGGATGGGCAGAGGAGGAGGAGGAGGAAGAGGGAGGAGAGAGGGGGGAGGAGGAGGAGGAGGCAGGAGGGAAGGAGGAGGAAGAGGGGGAGGAGGGGGAGGAAAGGAGAAGAGGAGGAGGAGGAGGGGGAGGAGGAAGGTTTAGGGTTGGGGGGAGGGGAGAATCCACATGGGGTCCAATGGGCTCTGTGCCCTGGACACTCACACGCCTCCAGATGCTGCCCCCCCCCCCCCATACACACACACTGCTGCTCTGGTCTCCAGGCCCAGGGCAGGTGCGGGCACCAGAGGTCTGCCCAGGCCCACGGGCTTGGGGTAGGGGTGTGCACTCAGGGCCGGCACCGAGCAGCTGCCTCCTCACTCTGGACTCAGACTGAGCTGGAACAGACACCGTCACTGCACTGAGGATGGGGCTGGACCTGCGGGCCGCTGTGTGCGGCCCACTGTGTGCGTGAGGACACAGAGACGCAGCCTCTGCTTGGCACACAGAGCTGCACAGAACAGGGTGCGAGTGTGGAGTGATGAGCCCGGGTGTCGCGGGGGCCGGGCGGGGGACAGGGCCCTGACAGCTCGGGTGGACCCTTTCCTCTGTCCCTGCCCGCTCTCCCAGCTCCGAGTGAGGGCGCAGGCCGCCCCTGCCAGCCCTGGCCCTCTCGGGTTTTGGGGGGGCACCCCAAATCTGAGTCAGCACGGGGATGAGTCCGATGCCCGGGGGAGCAGACCGGGGCAGGTGGGGAGGACCGGGGTCCTCCTGCCGGGGGTGATGTGATGGACAGAGGCTGGGGCGCTGCCTGGGCACCCCCTTTCCTGGGCGCGCTCTTGGCAAGAACCTGAAACCTAACGGCACCTCCGAACCCACCGCTGTCCATGGACCCACATCCCCTGGCCGCCCAGGAACCTCGCGGGGTCACGGGGTCACGGAGTCACGGGGTCATGGGAGGGCGGGGCGGGGGGGCGGAGGGAGCCCCTGGGCGAGTCCTGGTGCCTGGAGCTGCGCCCCGGCTCCCCGGCTCCTGTTCCTGCCCCGACAGAGTGCCCCGTTTAACGCCGGGTCCGGGGTGCAGGCCCCCCCGGCCCCCCATCTCCAGCCCCCCAACCCCTGTCCCCGCCCCGGCCCCCCGCACCCATCCCCGGCCCGTCCCGCCCGCGCTCACCTCGCAGCTCCCGCCGCCTCTGCCCGCGTCTCCCGCCGCCGCCCGCCTCCTGGGCGGGGCCAGCGCCCCCCCCCTTACCTGGCTCCCCGCCCCGCCCCGCCCCGCCCGGGACCGGCTCCGGAGGCGGAGGCGGAGGCGGAGGCCGCGGAGGGTCTGGTCCCCTCGGCTGCGCCCTCCCGGCTCCTCAGCCCCGTCTGCTCGCTGCTCCCCGTCGTCCGCTCCCTTTGCTCCCCTCCCGGTCTGTTCCCCGTTGGAAGGCGCCCTGTCCTTCCCCTGCCTCTGTCTGTCCATCCGCCTTCCAGCCCGCCCTCTCCGCACGGCTCCACCTCCCTCCCTCCATCCATCCATCCGTCCATCCATTTCCATCCGTCCATCCGTCCATCCATCTCCATCCATCCATCCATCCATCCATCCATCCATCCATCCATCTGTCCCTCACGTCCCCTCCGCCCCCTGCCCGCAGCCAGCATCCAGCTGGAAGGGGTGCCCCTGGGGAGGGGGTGCCCCCGGGGAGGGGGTGCCCATGGGGAGGGGTGCCCATGGGGAGGGGGTGCCCATGGGGAGGGGTGCCCATGGGGAGGGGATGCCCATGGGGAGGGGGTGCCCATGGGGAGGGGTGCCCATGGGAGGGGGGTGCCCATTGGGGAGGGGGGTGCCCCCGGGGTGCCCATGGGGAGGGGTGCCCATGGGGAGGGGGTGCCCCCTGGGTGCCATGGGGAGGGTGCCCATGGGGAGGGGGTGCCCATGGGGAGGGGGTGCCCATGGGGAGGGGGTGCCCCGGGGGTGCCCATGTGGAGGGGGTGCCCCTGGGGAGGGGTGCCCATGGGGAGGGGGTGCTCCTCAGGCCGCCCTCTCCTGGGGGGACTCAGACCCCACACCACCCGGCGAGCGGCAGTGCCGTCCTGGGTGCAGGGCTGGCCGGGGTTTGGAGTCTCCCTCCCAAAGGCTGCCTCACGTGGACCCCCTCGCACACGGGCTGTGGGAGAGGAAGCCAGTGTCCAGCCATGTGCTGTGCCGGGGGTGGGGTTTGGGGGGGGTGTCTGGCTCGTCCACGAACTGGGTCCAGCTCATCTGCAGAGACCAACGTGGCCCGGAGAGAGGCTGTCAACCCCGGGTGTGGGCCCCGCTGCCCCCCCCACTCACCCTGCTGCCCCCCCTGCCCCCCCCGCTGCCCCCTGCTCCCCCCACTCCCCCCCCGCTGCCCCCGGCTGCCCCCCCCCGCCCTCCGCTGCCCCCTGCTGCCCCCCCCCCCCCCGTGTCTGTGGTCTGAGTTGGGGGTTGGTCTGTGGCGATGGCAGCACCACCTCCGTGCCCTGTCACAGGGCGTCTGGCCGAGACTGAGCAGAGGGAAGTCCTCATGCCAGGTCCGCGCCCTGCTGCCTGCTGGGCCCCGGGGTGAGATCCTGTACGTACACCAGTGTAGCCACACAGTCCAGACCCAGCGCACCCCGGTGGCCGGGTGCCCCGGCGGCCGTATCGCCAGCGCAGGTGCTGCCCGGACTGGAATTCCCCAGCGTGTCCTGTCAGGCTGCCCGTCCCACCCAGTGTCGTCCATAGGACTGACACGTCTCAGCACCCAGATTCACCAGCTGCAGCTCCTCCCGGGTCAGGCAGACAGGACCGCCGGTGAGTGCGAAGTGGAACCGCCGGCCCTGCTCCTCTCCCGCCGCCCCCACTCACACAGACCACAGCTGTCACCACCTGTCCCATTGCCACGAGGGCAGCTTTCCACTGTGCAACTCCACCACGTGGACGGACACTCACATCGTTTCCAATGTATTTTTTAAAGTATGCTTTTATTGATTTTAGAGAGAGGAAGGGAGACAGAACATCAATGAGAGACATTGATCAGCTGCCTCCTCATGCCCCTGACCCGGGCCTGTGCCCTGACCGGGAACTGAAGCAGTGACCTCTTGGTTCATGGTAGGACGTTCAACCACTGAGCCGCACTGCTGGGCTGTTTCCAGTATTACGTCTGCAAATAAAGCTGCTGTGAAACATTTTGAATGCGTCTGTGTTGAACACATGCTCTGGCTTCTCTCGGAGTAGGATTGCTGGCAAAGGATTCACATGTTTTTACTTTAATAGAAATCGCCAGTTTTCCAAAGTGGTTAACCCAATCTCCAGCCCCGCTCCGGCTGTGTGAGTCTGCTGCCCTGTGTCTGATGCTGTTTTATTTCCAGCCGTGGTGGGTGTGGCGGCATCTCCTGGGCTCTTCATTTACATTTCACCCGTGAGGCTGTTGAGCACCTTCTCTTACACCTATTGTCCGTTTGTACCTGCTTGAGTCTTTTGTCCATTGAGAAAAATTGGGATGTTTATCTTTTTCTTATTGATTTGTAATTCTTCATATATTCTGAATGAACTTTTAATAACGTTTTATCTCACCCAAATTTTATGCACACACCCGTACCAATAACACGAGTTAGACAGTAATTTTGATCTCACCAGTTAAATAAGGCACGTTCTTCTGGCTTAGGAAATGGCCCCGGTCACATGGCACGTGACATTCATTCCGCAGGCACGTGCTGGCCCAGCCCCCTCGGCTCTCACAGGCCGGGACAGGGTAAGCCGAGGGGGAGGCACTGAGCTCCCGCTTCTCCTCTCCTCCCGGACGGACGGACGGACGGACGGCTGGCAGCGGGTCTGCGTCCCGGGCCGGGCGGAGGGAGCGGGGCAGGGGGCCGGCCTGGCCTCTGCAGGCCGTGTCCTCCGCGTGCGCCGGCGGCAGCTCTGGGGCCGGCCGTG